CATCTTAGCCACGGGCGCAAATGTCTCGTCATAATCAATACCATGGATTTGGCGGTTACCACACACAACTAGTCAGGCTTTGTACCGATCAATGCTTCCATCACTCTTATATTTTATTTTGTATACCCATTTACAAAAAATGGGCCTTTTTCCAGGTGGAAGATCCTGGAGTTGCCAAGTTCCCGTCTTCTCCAAGGCATGTATTTCATGTTGCATGGCAGCACGCCAGCGAGGATCACAAACTGCCTCCTTATACGTGCTAGGTTCGGTATTGGCAGAAACCGTTGCAAGCAAAGCTCGATGGCGAACATAAAAACGAGTATAATTGATGTAATGAGATAAGAGATAAGGATTACCTGAGTCAACCGGTGGAGGCAAGGTTTGAGCAGGTGGAGTATTTATTTTCATAGTATTCAGCTGTACCACATAGTCTTGATGCCAACCTGGTGTCTGCCTGGGTCGTTGACTGCGTCGACCAGCCTGGTTACCGGCATCAGTCATCCCTGAAGTTGCTGCCAATGGTCCAGCACCTGTCATTGTCATGTTATCTTCTGTACCATCTGGCTGACATTCCACGTGAAGGTGCTGTTGGTCAGTATGGGATGGGGACAGCTCCAGTGCTTCATCGACAACAAATCTGGCGACGGGATTGTCATCCCAAGACTTAAGTACATCCGCATTATCTCTGACCTCCGTAACTTCATGTGCATCCTCAATTCCAAATGGAAATATTGCTTCAACGAATGTAACGTCACGTGAAACAAAAATATTCCGTGTCTCCAGATTAAATAATTTCCATCCTTTCTGAGAATGAGCATATCCCAAAAAAACACTTTTGATTCCCCGTGTAGCAAATTTGTCCCTATTTTTCTCATGATTATGTGCATAACATAAACATCCAAACACCCGAAATTGATCATATCTGGGCACTTTATTAAACAAAACTTCATACTGACTTTTAAAATCCAAGACAGATGAAGGCAGACGATTAATAAGGTAGCAGGCAGTCAACACACACTCACCCCAAAAATTAATGGGCAAATGTGCATGAAATCGGAGTGTGCGTGCTACTTCCAAAATGTGTCTGTGCTTGCGCTCAACTCTTCCATTCTGTTGTGGAGTATAAACACATGTAGTTTGAAACAGAATTCCAATATCCAAAAAATAAGATTTCAAACACTGAAATTCTGTTCCATTATCACTCCGAACAATTTTCACTGATTTATCAAATTGACGTCCCACCATCGTAATAAATTGTTTAAGTAGAGTTGAAACTTCACTCTTTTCACGCATCAAGTAAACCCATACCGCCCGTGAAAAATCATCAACAATCGTCAAAAAATATCTAGCCCCACACGTAGCCGGTGAACGATACGGTCCCCAAACATCACAATGTATCATATCAAATAAATCAAATGCTCTGGAATTACTAGTGTGAAAAACATCACGAGTCTTTTTACCACGCAGGCATGCATCACAATTTTTATTTAAACCAACTGACAACAAGGATTTATCAAAACTAAGTGCTGAACGTAAAATCTTCTCGGATGGATGTCCTAACCGGGAGTGCCACAAATTACTCGTGTCCTTCCTTCTTATTGAGTACGCACGAACATCATCAATACTATGAAAATAGAATACTCCTCCACGCTTTTCACCCGCTCCAATCGACATCCTCGAACGTAAGTCTTGTATCACACAAACATCATTAGCAAAAATTATACCACATTTTCGTTCCTCGAGTATTTGCCCTACCGAAATCAGATTACATGTCAAACCCGGCACTAAGAGCACATTATTAAGTGTTATATTTTGGCTTAAGTTCACATCACCCCTGCTCCGTGCAATCGTAATCTCACCGTTAGGCAAGTAAACAGAAAGAGGACTTATCTTCTGTGAATTGTTCAACAGTTGTTTATTGCCTGTCATATGGAATGATGCGCCAGAGTCTATAAGCCATTGAGTTCCGGGAATTTTACCTGAGCTCTTCTCATGCGTGTCTTTCTTACTCTGTTCTAGAAAGTCAAAGACTTTCTTCCACTGTTCAGCAGAGAGGGCAGGAGCATGCATTTTCTCCTCCACACGTTCTGATGCATCTGGCTTTTCCTCGCCAGTCTCCCCCAACTGCACGGCGTTGGCATATGCCCGGCCACGCCCTCTTCCATTGCCACTACGTCCGCGTCCGCGTCCTCGTCCTCGTCCCGGATTGTCGTACCACCATTCCGGGTATTGTCCCGTCCTTTTGAAACAATTTTCAACACCATGGCCAGGTTTTTTGCAATAATTGCAAATAATCCTCTCTTCTTTTCCAGTGCTCGATCCTCCAGTTCGTGCAGCAAAGGCGACTGCTTCAGCCTTTTCAGCTCCATTGCGTGTCAAATTCAAGTGCCTTTTTTCCTGCGTGACAATCTGGTACACTTTTGTGAGTCCCGGCAGTTCTTCTTGACTGAGAAGATTTGAACGCAATCCTCCGAATGTTTCACGGTCCAATCCCTTAAGGAAATCATGTGTTTTTTCAAGTTCAATTTCCTTCATCAAATGCTTGTTTAATTCACACCTACAACGTCCATATGTGCATTCTGGAATATTACGTAGCCCGTCGTAATCATCCCACAACGCTTTGAGTCTTCCATAATATGCCGTGATCGTCTGTCCATTCTGCCGGCAGGATCGGATTGATTCCTTGAGCTCATGAATTCTCATGGAATCAGCCACCTCGAACCGATCCTTCAGGTCATTCCATAGCTCAGCAGCATCCTCCGTGTATCCAATATTCGTTCGCAGCGTTGGATCAATGGATGTCATCAGCCAGCCTACCAGCATCGAATTGACCGTACACCAGTCTTCGAGGTCATCCACGCCGTTTTCCGACCGTTTAATCGTTCCGTCCAGAAAACCAAATTTCCGTTTAGCTCGAAAGGCGTTGTTCATCGTCGTCGTCCATTCCCCAAAATTCCCTTCACCCTTTAGAGTGAATCCGCAAATGTTGATTCTGGGATAGTCGGAGCTCGATAGAAAATACGGCGATGAGGGATCGTTAATTTTCCTCCTCCTTAGTTCGCCGGAGTTCGTGTCATGTGTCGTGTTCACCATATTGGTGAGTTCGTCCGGTGGATTCAAGATAGGATCGTTACACGCTCTGATACCAAATTAAAAGTATGTATGTGAAACTTTTTCCCATTGCTTTCTTCAACCAAGAGTTACAAAATATATATATACATCTGTACACCTTAATCTTCTCGGTGGATGAGAGTCCTCACGCTACAAAATTGGTCATCCTGTTGAGAAGATAATTACAAAATTAAAAATACAAACTACACTAAGCTAAGGAGTCCAGCCGCACGTCCAAGTCAGTTACGTCTCCTGCATGCAAAAATAGAAAAGCATGCATACGTAGCAAGCCCAAAAAATCACACCAACAATTAATCAGGACCAGTGGAGGACCTAGGGAGGGGTCTAGGGGGGCAAGTGTCCCACTTTCAGCCAATAATTTCACTACTAGTACTTAGAGTAAAATCAGTACCCCGCTTTCGGCCAAGAATTTCACTACTAGTGTGCCCCTACTCGGACAAATTTCTGGGTCCGCCACTGATCAGGACTGAAACTCACTCCATTGAGTTTCAAACCCTTGTGTGCCTAGCGAGATTCGAACTCGAGACCTCTCATTAGACACGATAACCTCACAACCAGCTGAGGTGGAATGCTTGGTTGTCTATGTTCTTTTCCTTCACATAAAACTTTCTCTTATGCGATTGCTCTAAAAAATACCTAGTATTTCTCGATTCAAATTTTAAACATGGAATGGAGGGGTGCTACTATACGTGAACAATGAAGAGAACTGAAAAACTAGAACGATGTAGGTGCATGACCAGGGGTGGAGCCAGGGGTCAGGGTGGTCAGCCGACCTCGCTGAAAGTTCAAGAATGTAGAGCTCTGAAATACCTTCAATTTGATATATTATGGGTCCCGTAACTCATTACGAGTAAAAAGTTATGACTTCTGAAAAAATCAGTATCATCTTAACTTGAAATAAGCAAAATTTGATGTGTGACGTTGATTATATTCTTAAATTTTAAAATAAAACAACTTATTCAGTGATTAGTTGTGTGAACATTATGATACATTACCTATATATCAACACATTAACCGAAAAATTCTCAATAAACTACCATTTATCTCAGCTACATATGAAACATTTAACTCAAGTATTGTATAATAATTATCCATCATTTTGATATGGTATATAATTAAATTTCGACCCCGCTCACACATTTTTCTGGCTCCGCCCCCGTGCATGACATAGTACAAAAATGATAACCTTTAAGAGAGACGTTTTAATTGAGTTCATATTTTCTGATTTGATTTCATATGTGTAACTCTGGTCCGATATGAATTTGTTTGAGTTGTTTGATCTATGAATTTGACTGATCTGGTGTTATATATGTATATTTATGTGTATTTTACTATTATCCAAATTCGATCTCATTTGATCTATATAAGTTTTATCTGGTCTAACTTAGTTTGGTCTGATCTGATTTAGTCTGATCTATATCATTTAATTCGATTTTATGCAAATATAGGGAGTATATAACACGGTAATTTAATCCGTCCGATTTAAAATTTTACATTTTCTGTTTTGAGACTTCCCATATTTTATGCAAATATAGGGAGTATATAATACTCCCTCCTTTACGTTTCCAACTCATCTTACATTAATTGTTCTAATTACCCTTCACTATCCATCCGCTTTTTACATTTGAGTGAATAACATTAATTTCTCCCAAAAATTAAAAGGGCATGCAAGACATTTGTTCTTATATTAATATACGAAGTATTAATTAAGTTCCTAAATAGCAAACTGTCAAGTTCTATATGCAAAAATATGTTGCCTACCTAAAGTAGCTCTTCCTTTATAGCTTTACTCAAAAATATACCTCCGCGTTAAAAAAGAAAAGTCAATCATCCATCTCCTCGCTAACCCCTTTATATAACCCCTGCAATAAAGTTTGCATACCCTTTGATCTCAATTCATTCATTATACAGACCCAAGTAAGCAATGGGTTTCTCTCACGACAGCAACAAACGACGAGCATGTTTCGACGGCGGCGGCGGAGGCCATGAAGTAGGCTGCAGAGGTTTTAGGCTGAACCTCCGGCGGTTTTGCGTCCACCGGATCCGTACGAGGTTCCTGAACCTGGTCGGAAAGTGGAAAACCTCGTACCTCCACGCGCTGAGGTCGTTGAAGAGACACGTGATGACGGTCAACGGGAAGACCAAGAACCGCCGTCACGGTAAGAGCGGCACTATGGAGGCGGCGGCGATGAAGTATGCTCTGTACCACCGGAGCGGTAGCATCAGCTGCAGCGGCGACCACCGTCCTATGTTGAAGTCCTACGGGCGGTCAAACTCGTTTTACTCCGACGCCATCGCCGATTGCTTGGATTTCATTAAGAGGAATTCTGTTTCGGTGGAAGAGGAGGAGGAGAAGCCGGTATTCGTTGGTTTTAGAGAACCTCAGGAAAGTCAATATCACATGTAAAAGCGGGATTATGAGGCTTAATTAATTGTTTGATTAATTAATTAATCAAGCCCAGAACAAGTTTTGTACATGTATATACTCCGTATATAGATATATAGTTTATGTATAATTATACTTCGTATGTAATTTTACTGTTCGATATTTCGATCATATGGTTTATTGATTATTTTTTCTCATTTCGTGTTTGATTTTGCACTTTGATATGGACTTATAGAGAGTACTACGTATTTATTAACCAAATTTTTTTCCATCATGCGTTTTCTTGGGATCTTGGAAAGGAATTATGCAACCGGTGGTCGTAGCTCAACTGGTGCCGAGGGAGTGCCACATAGTTAGATTCTGGGTTCGAATCTCGGCAATTGCGATGAAAGGTGATTATGCTAAATGTTAGGGCCTCTGCAAGTATCGATAACATAGCCCACTTTCTATCGATCTGTCAGATTGGGATTATAGTCCAATTTACATCGTCTCAATTTACCGTTCGATCGAGGTTGGGGATGCTCACGGATGGGATGTCATCCTTTTTTGGAAAGGAATTATGCATGTTGAATAGGAAGTACTCCCTACCATTTTTTGGCTCGGAGTAAAACTTTCTTGGAAATTCAAATTAAAGATTATGATTATATCATGTGAATGATTTATATCAAATCAAAACGTTTGTATTTCATTCTCCATGTTCTTATATAATTTTGTGATGGACATTAGAAAAATGGGTGGTGTACACAAAATGTGTAAACCTTTTGTCTACACTCGTCTGTCCCCAGCAGACAAGTTGTCTGTCCACAGACAACTCTACAGAATTGTCTGTGGACAGACAACTTGTCTGTTGTGGACAGACGAGTGTACACAAAAGGTGTACACATTTTGTGTACACCAAGCAAAACCCTGGACATTAGCACAACTAAAGAGGTTTAGAGCATGCAGTTTGGTAATATCAAAATAGTCTCAATCGGGTGATTCTGTTGAAACTTATGAAGTTCTGACTGAAGTGGGTGGATTGGCTTATTCTACTAATTTAGGTAAAAAATTATATTTAAAGTATACTTTACTACAATAAAATAAAAAATTATATGAAAAATAGTTAAAATAGTCCTCTACAGTAAGTTACATGTTTAGTTAACTTTACATTTTTCTTATTATTACAAAATCAGCGTGTGAAATAAAAAAATATATGTTTAGTAAAAAAGTTGGCTACTAAACTTAATAAGCTTATATTTTATGCCCTATTTGTTAATTATTTTAAAAAATCTTTATACGGATTTATTTTTTCTGGCTGTCACTAATGATAGGTAGATAGGTATTGCACCATTGAAGACATGGAAGTATTGGGAGATATTTGGAGGACGAAGTTAGGTTTTTGCTTTCTTGTGATAGTTGTCCAGTGGAGATTTAATTAATGTGCTGATTTAATTAACAACAAAGTGGACCAATTAAAAGGGAATAGATGGGTAGAGTAAACACAACTTTTTGAAATTTTTGTTCTCACTTTTTCCGATTTGTCACACAGTCATCTTTAATAATGACTTTTTGCTAATATCGATGGCCCAATTCACCTTCACTCGTTCATCACATTGATATAAAAAAATGTACATATAAAACTTTCATTGTTTTATTGCTAAAATATTACTCATTTACTTCTGAGAGAGGAAATTTTATAATTTTAATAGAATGAAATAAGTCTTATTTTGAAAATAAAATACATGTAATTTTATATGTGTATTTTGTCTAAGTTTGAATCTCATTTAGAGCAATTTCTTTTATACATTTGTATATTCCTTGACGATAATTCCCTCCATCTCATACTCCTTATACAGGTTTTCATTTTACGTTTCATATAAAGATTCTCATTTCTATTTTTGCAAATATTTAGCACTCTTAATTTAATCATTAAATATTTAAAATAATACATCTATTACATCATTGTTATTACCACTAACCACATTATATTACATACCTACCAATTTGTTTTTCTCAAAATATACTCGAATTACTTTATATAATTATTATCTAAATAATCGTGTTATTTTGCAAAGGAACCATTTAAACAGAACCAAGGTAATATGAATCTATTGTACTGTAAAAACAATGGCTAAATGGTCAAATAGGCCGTTGTACCGATCGTGTAAGCTCAATTCACTCCTTGAACTAAAAAAGTTCCAATTCGCACTCTGAACCGACAAAAAATGGTTCAAATTTCATTTTTTACAGATAAACAGCCAGTAAAAAAGGTCTAATTCGCACCATTAAACTATTAAAAAATGTCTAACTTGCATAAATCGAAATTAAAAAACAGAAACAATAAAAAAATTAAAAAAATGATCGATTGTTTCTCGTAAAAAATGAAATTTGAATCGTTTTTTGTCGGTTCGGGGTGTGAATTAGACCTTTTTTAGTTCAGACACTGAATTGAGCTTAAATGACTGGTACAAAGTCCTATTTGACCGTTTAGCCTAAAAAATTTCTACAGATCACAAAAATAATATTTTAAGAAAGTTTATTTAAAACCAGAAATTAAAAGCAGGTTAAGTTGACTTATAATAGAAGTGAACGGTAATTTGAGATCTAGACAATACACAAATAGTGTACTTACCTCTTAAACCATCCCTTTGTCTCAAATTTGTTTTGCAAATTCAATATTTTTGGATCAACCAATATTAAAGATAAATCCTCCATATTGGTATTTAATTCAATTTATAATAATTAAAATTTACATATTCAGAAACTACATTAGAATCTTTTCGAAGTTGCAAACTTCTAATTAGAATATACTCCCTCCGTCCCATAAAATAAGTCTCATTTTCCTTTTTGGACCGTCCCAAAAAATTGTTCCCATTTCCTTTTTTGGAAAGTTTTGTGTGACTAACATTCATTTACCTTTTTCTTACTCAACCACAACCATACATTTCCACTTTATTCCCACTTTCTTAAACTCCAATCCAAGTCATATTGGGACTAATTTTCCGGGACGGAGGGAGTAGTTAAAAAGTGACAGCCTCTCGATGGCGGAGGAGGCTCGCACCAAGCGGCATAGCAAATCTAGAATCTTTTACACCCCGGAGCTTCATTAGCCGACAATGATGATTGGTGGCGGCGGCAATCTGGCAGCGGAAGAAATCTAACATGTCGGCGATTGACGATAGTAGCACTGTAGAAGTTGCTAGTTGCAAGGCTAATGCCTACCGGGTATTCTAGTCCAATCACAAAAGAGAAATTCTATTTTGAAAATTTTAAACAACTACCCCTATTTTTACCTTTTTGTCCGGTTTTACTTCTATTAATGGGAATTATTATTTCTAAAGAATAAAGATATAGCTACATTGGAGCTAGTTTTTATAAAATTCTTGTGATCCTCGAACTTTTCAAAATTATTCTCAAAGAATAGATCGATCCCATACTATCTCTCGGACCTCTCCCCCGATTAAGCATCTCAACTTTAACGGGTTTAATGTGATGTTTTCACTTGGACTTAATTCCTTCCAGATCAGTTCAGACCAGACCAGAATTGGATAATTATAAAAATACAAAGAAACAAGATCAGACCAAATCAGTTCAGACCAGACTAGATGAGACCAAATCAATAAATTACAGTCCAAGTAAAAACATCATAAACCCCCTCGTGAAATATAAATTCGACGCATTAGCCCACTGTGATTTAAAAAATGCATCAAACTCCCTTGTGTTATCATTAATCATGTGTCAAACCCCCTCCAAGAACAAATTTAATTTCAAAAATTTGAAAAATGATTACTTTTTTTGTATAATTTAGAAATTTTGACAAAGTTACTTGCATATTCAACTATATTATTAAAACAAGTAATTTCAAAATTGTAAAATTTGTTCTTGAAGGGGATTTTGAGCATGATTAATTAAAACACAGGGAGTTTTGACGTATTTTTTAAATCACAAGAGGCTAATGCGCCGAATTTATATTTCACGAGAGGGTTTGATGCATTTAACCCAACTTTAACATTGCTCACACTCAAGATGGATTAATTCAAAATTTTGGTTTTCTTGTTCGTAATATGGTCAAGAGGAGAGGATTGTCGATCACTTCTACAACTTATTTAATCATCCCCGTTTTGGCTTCCATTGAAATGATTCATTTGTTTCTACTATACGCAGATAAACGGGGATCAAAATCAATTACATTAAGGTCGATATTTGTAAATAAATATTCGAGTAATTATGAGACTGAAATGTTGGTCCCGTTTTAAAAAATGTACGTGGTGTTAAAATTTCAGAAGCCTTAGCTTGTCCAGCACGGTGTTTTTATTTTATTACTAGACGAAGTACCCATGCGATGCACGGGGTACATCTAGAATAGAAAAATGACTTTATATTTTATTTATTTTATTATATGATGGTATGTAATTATAATATATTATATTGTAGCTTTAACAATATAGGACAAAATGAAAAAAATAATCTCAATTATTGTCGGTCCGTCGTTAATAATCCCAACCATCGATTATTTAATGATAGTCCCAACTATAGTTACCATTTTTCAAAAATAGACTCTAACCAGTTGCAACCTGACATAGCAAGTCAATTTTAAATGTGAACTATATGTGAGCTTTAAATGATCTCAATTATAGTTGATATTTTTATTAATCCCAACTATCAACTCTAAATTTTCGGAAGATACAATATTATTTTTATAAATTTCCAAACTAAGTGTTTTTAAACATGTATAAACAACTACAAAAATTATGAAAATGTACCGAAGTTAAAAAAAAATATTTTTAGTCATTTTTCGATTTATTTTCACAAAATTTTTATTTTTTCCTTTTTAAATTTTTTCCCCCAGTTGTGTTACCAATTTAAGATTTTGTATAATTTTCCTTTAATCAAATTTACATTTTATGTTTTCATAAAGTAAACAATTATTAAAATTTTATATATTTTTATGCTATCTTAATTCTAAAAACCTAAATTTTCTATGTTTCCCATTAGTATTTCTATTTTGTTTATATTTTCTTTAATTTATATTATTATATTCTATAACTTTTATTATATAGTTTATTGTTTAAATTTAGTGATTTGGGGTATAGGTTTTGGAGATTTTGACAAATTTTAATTAAAATGTATTATTATTATTATTATAATTTTAAGTGATATAATGGAGATCGTTAAAAATGAAGAAAAACTGTATCAGTGTGGTAATAATAATCCTAAATATTT